TAAAAAAAATTCTATTTCTAAAAACTTCAGATAAGGCCTTCGAAATTCATGCAAGTTCTACAAAATTCGGGAAAGTCTTACAAGTTTCAGGAAAATCCTGTGAACTACTGTGATGACCTACGACGGTCAGGAAATCTCTCCAAACCTTCAGAGAAGTTCTACAAATTTCAGAGAAGTCTTACGAACTTCAGGGAAGTCCTTCAATCTTTGGGGAATAACTACGAGTTTTACAGAATTTTCTACAGATTTAATGTAACTTTATTGCTTAAAACTTAAGGATAATCCTATGACACTTATGGATTTTTTCCGAGCTTCAGAGAAGTCTTCAATACTCTTGGGAAGTCCTCTGAACTTAAATAGTTCTCCAAGCTCAAAAAAGCTCCAAGAACTTCCGAGAAGTCGATTGACTTACAGGTAGTCCTACGAAATTCATGGGAGCTCTCCAAACTTCAGGGAATTTCCAAGGAAAGACCCACAAACTTTTGGAAAACCCTTCGATATTTAAAGCCTTATGAACTTCAGGGAAGCTCTTCTAAATTTAGGGTCCTCATATATTCCTTCAAACTACAGGGAAACTCAGAGGACCTTCGAGAAAGTTCTTCGAACTTGAAGTAAGTCTTACGAACTTCTGAGAATTTCTACGAACTTCGTGGTACTTTTACGATATTTAAGAAATTCCTATAAATTTAAAAAAAACTCCGAACTTCAGGGAAGTCCTAAGACCTTAAAAAAAGTCCTTCGAACTTCGGGGAAGTCCCATGAAATTCAGTCAATACAAACTTCAATGAACCCTTCCGGAAAAACTTTAACGCTTCAGGGAAGTTCTACGAACTTTAGGGAGTTTCTATGAACTTCAGCAGTCAGTCTTTTCAATAATAAGCGTTGTTTATGAAATCTTTAAATCATATGATTTTAAAATCAAGTTGTAATCAAAATTCCTCTAAATAAGATCGTTGACAATTTGCGGAAAATTTAAACAGACTGGAAATCCGTAAAATTGTTAGAAGCAAAGGTTTATTTAAAGAGTCCTCATTCATATCACACTTTGCAATTTCACCTTGAGATAAACTAGCCCGTTGGCTAAAAATCTCAATAATAAAGTTAAAAAAATCATAGTTTCAAAAATAGAAATCTCAAGATTTAGGGGCTTATGGATCTCTAAATTTCAGATATTAGATAGGGCTCCGCGCTAGTCCGTCGTATCTCAGCTTTTCTTTGTCATACACCCCTAAAATCACTCATTTTACGGGTTATCGCAAATGTTTCAGTGTCAATCGTAATCAATCTTGTGAGCAAAGATGTTTTTGCAAAAACATGAGTGAAAACGCTTTGCTACTATAGTTTTAGCACATAGAACGGAACTAGGCGCCATGATACGACGAAGTAGCGCGGCTCCCTACTAGCTTCTTTACAGCAAACAATCAGATAAAGATTTCACGGACATTCACAAGAACCTTAATACCTATTTTGGTTTGTGAAATTCCGCATTGCGCAAAGAATGATGGTACAAGGATTCACTTTATTTTTTTTTAATTAAAAATTGTTTTTTAAATACATGGTTTTTAAAACCAGGAAATTTTTGAATCATTGACCAGGAAAACCAGGAAAAAACCAGGAATTTCAAAATGGAAATTCACTTGCCACCTTGTCTTATGTCAGGCTCATAAATACCAATGTAAGGTATCGAGGTATTCGTTCCTGCTCGGGTAGTGAGGATTGCAATTCGATCACTTTTCTCGCAACTTCAGGTATTCTTCAAGGAAGTCACCTCGGGCCACTAATTTTCATAATTTATTCCAACGATGTGAGTCTTGTGCTAAAGAACCCTCCGTATGTTTCTCCCCACATAGATCACAACGTGGTTTGTTGCCACAGAAGGCCGAAGTATGCCTTAAAGATTGCAGTGTGGAGCAAACTTTGTAGAAGTTCTGAGAATTTCGTAGCATTTTTAGTAGCTGCGTAAAACTTCGTTTATGTGCAGGGATTTTTGTAGGAGCTCTAAAAATAGTTCAGCAATCTTTTAAGATCTTCTTTTCAGTTTTGGGAGCTTCGTTTCACTTTGTCAGAGATCTTACTTCAAAAAATCTCAATGAACTTCTTGGAAGTTTTGGTAACTTCGTTAAATTTCAAGGAACTTTCCATATGTTCTAGAATATTTGTAGATGATAGGGGTCTTTCCAGAAGTTCAAAGATGTTCAGAGATCTTCGAAGAATTAGGAGATATAAAAATATATAGTAATTTTTAAAACTTTAGGGAGTTTGGTAGAACTTCACGAAAAGTTGCATAAGAATATTCAAAAGATCTCTAGTTAGACGAAGATATTAGTAAAGTTCCTGGATATTTTTTCAAGGCTTCAGGTTGATCAAGTTCTAAAAATCTCCAACTGTTAGAAAACACAAATGGCAGCTCTTAAGACTGCAGGTTGATCAGGAAGTAATCAAAAGTTCTCCAGCTAATCGAATCTGATGGAATCTCGAATGTAGATTTTATGGACATGTTTGCACATACTGGTGATTTAGATATAGTGCCAAGAATTAGCATTTCAGGATAGTTAGAATCAAAGAAATCATAAACTCTTGGTAAATTATTTTTAAACTTTTGAGTTATTATTTTCGATTTGATATTATATCTAACTCCGTGTTCCTGAAAGTAAGTTAGCCCAAGGTATTTCCTAACTAGATACATGCTTTTTTCTTCAAATATTTCTTAAAAGAATTCAAACATGAAATTCAAAATCCGCTATCTTTAAAATCTGACAAAATTTAATTATTTCCAGATTTTTCATGATTTCTTGAAATTTGCAAAACCTCAAATTACGATTCGCAATCCGGGATTCAAAACTTGTCATAGCTCATGATTGCGGAACATTTTTTAAATAAATAAATAAATATTCAAGATCTAAAAAAAAAAACGAATTACAAAATTGATGGAATTATCTCACTCGGGGAATTATTGAACATGAGAATTTTGTATGAAATCCATAAAATTATGAGTTCCGGACGCTATGTGATTTCATTACGAAAAGCTTGAACAAACGATCATTGCTTGTTCAAAATCATTAAGCCTTAAATTCGAGATCCCAAGCGTTTTTATAAAATAAATATAATCAAATTGATTTTTTCCCCATTTAAATAACAGTAATTTGGGAGGCTCATAATTTTGGTTATAGTAGAAATGTACCCAACAGGAATTTGAAATAACAAGTCACCTTGACGTAATTTGATTGAATAGCATGAGTTTTTATTTAAGCATAGTTTAACAAAACAAAACAAAATTAACAGCACCTCCCCCTCCATTAGGCCTTCTCCAGTAAAATTTTCTAGCTAAGCCAATGCTATCTTCATTACATTTTTCATGTAGACAGGGTTGCTTCTACTCACTTGCTATAAAAAAAAATGATTTCCTGCATTTTGAAATCATTAGATGTTATAATGATACAAGAAGAGGTTGAAAGGCAAGTGTTTGACACATAAAATCTGCCAATTTCGCTACCAGAGTGTTACAATCAGCGATCTTATGATTCGTGAGCGTTCACTCAGTATCTAACAAGTATAAAATATGATTATAACATCTAATGATTTTAAAATTAAGAAATTAATGGTTTTATAGCAAGTAAGTAGAAGCAAGCCTGCATGTAGATTAGTATTTTATCATATTATAAGGCTGTACTCTGAATATGACATTTAAATGTGTAGTACAGTTGTTCCTATAGGGGCCAACTTAGTGGGCGATATACTTTTAGCCACACCCCCACCCCAATAGTTTTTGGATTGCATCAAAGTTGACTTCTGATCAAACTCGTCAAACTCAAACAATTTTTACTATTTAAAATCTTATCGACATACTAGCGGTGATAGAACTTTGAAAAATATTAATTATTTTTCTGTTCTGAGCGAATCAACTTTCGAGGAATTATTTTTAGAGAACGAGTTTACTTTTGTACAAAATGTTCAATAAAACTGTCAAAAACAACATGCGACAAACAAGCTTTTTGTAGGCATAGCATCTCTGATCACGAACTAAAGCCGTTGGTCCCCAGTTCATGAGCTGATGGGTCGATAGTTAGGGTCCAGGTACCTGAAGAGTAAAGTGGGCTGGTTGATAAGTTATCTTTATTAACGAGACTTTCAGCCAAATCACAGTGGAGAAAACGGACTTTTTGCCCCACTATATGCAATTCCAACTTCCAACTTGATTGACATATCAGAAGTCTGATGCTCCTAAAATCAGCTTCAAGAGAAACTCAATCATGTCCTGAAATAAAATTTTCCCATCCTTTCACTATTGGATTTTCCATGGTTTATGTGCACAAAGTCGGTACAAATCATATAAATTTTCATCTCGGAGCAAACTTTGCCCTCTACGAAAACATTAAGAATTTTTGTGATTTGTTGGTGAAAGCCTGACTCTAAAATACCTTTCAAACAAGTTTTAAAACATTGTGGTTCATTTTGCACTGGCTTCGAAAACATCAAAACGAACTTTTGCCCCACCGTAATATGGGGCAAAATATTATTGAAATAAATCCATGAACTTAAAACTGTAAACTGTTCATAAAGATCACCACTAAATGCATATACGAACTTTTTAACGAACAAACGAACAGGATCGTAACCAATTTTGTAAGTATATTATTGTTTTTTTTTTGTAATGTAACCTTAAAAAATGCAAACCAAAATTTTCATTACTTTGCTTTGGGTGGGTTTTTTTTTAATTATGACCGCTCTCGAGCAAAGCGGAGCAAAAATATCGTAGATGAAGAATATGTGTGACAATCAATCAATAATTAATTAGTCAGAACAACAATATCAAAAATGGATATTCGTAAAACTTACATGCATGAAGTCATCAATTTGTATTTATTCAACCAAAATGCTCATAAAAGACAGGACTGGGTTATTGTACGGAGACCTAATCATTTTTTTCTTCTTCGTGGGTTCAAAGTAAATACAAATGATGTGTTCAACAGAACACCTAAAATCATCCACTTTAAACTTACGTGTTCATGGCTATTTCTTGAAAAGATCCAACGATCCGCACGGCTGTGAGCTGTATAATTTCGCGCCTGATACGCACGAATTGAATTGAAAATCGTTGATCACAGGTTACTCGAACCGCTCTTTCTTTAACGTAAATCCGTGTCTGGGTTCCCTTCGACCTTCGACCGTAGGGTCTCTCCACATTCAACTGTAGCAACTTGGATGGTGGCAATGTCGGTTTGGTACGGTAATGGTCGCCAGAATTAAATCACGCCCCTGCACGAGCTTCCATCATGAATCCGGACAAACCGTGTATATACACTTGTTCGCTTATATTTCTGATATTGCACACCTATATAATGAAAATTTCTTCCGATTTGTAGTGCCGTCACGTCACCGGGATAAGCGAGCTGAATATGAATGAGTATTATTTTCTTTCTTCACCAGACTACACCCACACTTGCCGGAATTCTAATCATGAAACTATTCACCGTTGCACTTATTCTTACAGATAATAGATTTACCGAATCACTAAAGCCACTTTATGCACACAAAATCTTGCGGTTCGTTTTGCAACTCAATCCCAGATATTGCAAATTTGAATAGGATCACGAACAACGAAAAACACGTACTCCAAAAATGCGTGCTTCTGCTGCGACAGCCGACAGAAGAATGAAGAAGCAACGACAATCCTCATTGGCCATGCAGCACACGCGAGTCCGTGCCATATCCGATTCTACTGGACGTGATCCTGTATGTGTGTGTGCGCGAGTGTTTACATTCAACCAGGCAATGCCTCCTTTTTGGGGTGGGGAGATGTTGCGCATGTGTATGGTATTTGTTTACTTTTTTTCTCACATGGTGCCGGTATTTTACCACGTGCGTATCTAAGGAGTCTTTAAATGATCGCTCCATGCATTTTGTATCTAACATGATCACAAATTATGTTGCAAGTGATAAGAATAATAATAAATGTTGATGAGACTGTAGAATAATGAAACTTTTAGTTCATTTAACGAATTCATCCGAACAGCAGTATGTTGTGCAACAGTGCTAGGGTGTGTTTGTGTGTTGCAGTGACGTATAGAGAATCTGCAGCCAATCGTCGTTTATTTTTTCGGCAAGATTCCTTCATTGCTCTGTGACCAATCAGAAACGTGCTATGAATGAGGGGAAGAAAGCATTCTTTCACATTTGTGTACACGTTAGCAAAACGCTGGCGCTGGGTCACTCGCTATTGTGGAGATGTTAATTTAAATCGATCGTTTGGCAAAACGTGAGGTTGAAAAAATCTTATGCTGTTTGGGAATCTTATTTTCAGACTGAATTCCGGCATCAATAGACTTTATGGCGAGATTCTATCTTTCATTGCTGATAATTACTGTGTTTTTTTTTATCTTTCTTTATGCATATTTGTTTGTCGATATATTTTATTGAAGAAAGACTTATTTTCATCATTTCGTTAATTTTCTTTAATTTTCTATGCATCGATCTTCGAAGCCATTCATAAGAAAAATCGATAGCGATCGTCACCATTTCATGAATAATTGTAAAGATGCTAAAAGTCTAATCGTGAATCGTTTATAAAGATCATTCTCAAAATATTGTTACCAATCGTTACCAATGTTAAAATATCGATTGTGTTGCCAGATCAAAATATCGATTTCTGTTGTAAAATCAAAATATTGATACACAACTGCTGATTTTTTTCTGCATAATTTCTAGTTTCGATCCCATGCCATCTGGGGTGTACTGATTTCGTTGTTGGTTGCTAATCCTCGGGTCCACGGCTTCTGTTGATGAGCTTATCAACGACAGGCAAACACAGTCTAGTATGTGGTGTATTGAAATTTCTGTAAATCTTTTCATACAAGAATTCAATATTTATATAAATTTATTTGTCATAACCATCAATCAGTCAGCCATGTAGGTGTAAATGCCGAGAATCCCACCACGCATGCTATCACGGGTTATTAAATATATAGACATAAACTTGAAGAACCACAATGGTAAATATTTGCTGCGTCGCGGCCATCGGTCTTCTCGTTCATTTACCGGCAGATTGCTTCTTCCGATGAAATGCCGAATATGTCGATAAATAATATAAACATTGCCATCTGTCACCTGGTGTGTTTCGAACTCTCTTTGACCAGCGATGCAAATCGATAACAAAGAGATTATAAATGTGCATCGATGGCAATCTTTGTTGTTCTTTGTCAAAGTTTAAAGTTACGATGATATCAGTATTTAAATATTTATTGATGAATATTTGTAAAGAATACTAAAGTCCATGTGACACATCGAAATTTAAAGAAATTTAGTATGGCACCTTTATAGATTACTATCATATGACCGATCAAGAAATAATCTTAAATGTAAGTATCGATCAATAAAGATTTTTAAATGTGTACATCGAAATCATAGAAAATTTAAAGTAAAGAATTGCCGACATAGGGTAGAGCGCTACTTCGTCGTAATCGCCTATTTCCGTTCTATCGATCAGAAAAGATCAATAATATCAATGATTTCACCGTGCACAAATCAATTATAGGTTTGTTCTGATGCGTTAGTTCATTAGCTACAACATAAATCCTGTTAGAGCGCATTGTATGAATATGTACGCTCTGTTGGCACAAAATAAGATGTTGGTCACCCTACACTAAATTGTTATACAGCTACACACTATCTCTGTTATCACCACTCTTATCACACACTTCCCACAGCAATAGGCACTCACTCTCTATTTCTCGCATCCCATGTACACGATCGCAAGCAACATATAGGAGAAGATTACCGATCAGTATTCAATAGTAATAAATCATCCGCGCGCGCAGAAGATACACTCAAAATCCAAAAACAAATTGGGAATAAACAGTGTCCGATATACCTCTTGACCGCAATAAAGGTGTTTTCTGTGTTTTACCAAACGTCGCGTGTGCAAGGTACCGAAATCCGAAGAAACTGTCCGTCCGGTGATACAGTCCACCCCAGTGTCGAACACGCTCATTGTTCTCAAAACAAAAGAAGCGCTCCTAGCGAATCCCCTTTTTCTACGTTTATCCGTAAGACGAAGAAAATCTAATGGCGTTTCAATGCGTTAGGACGGAATTGAAACTCGTAGAACGAATTTAGAATCAAGAAGCAGTATTAAATTTTAAACAATATCTCAACAATTTATGACTTGTATGGAAGGATGAATAAATTTAGAAGTTATCTTTGACAGAACTATTCCATTTTTTTTTTGTTTAAACTCGTTCAGAAAAGGGAGGTAAAGCGCGGGTTGTGCTTAGTACGACGGAAATTAGATCGAAACCCCTACTCAAGAGAGAATATTTTTTTCAAAATAGGATGCGTATTTATGAATTTGAATCATGGTTGGACCAATTATATAAAGTACCATTTGTACGCTTGGGAAGCCCACAGGGTCGAGTGCTATAAACCAATCGACTCAGTTTAACGACATTGGAAAATGTCTGGGTATCCGTCTGTATGTGTATGTATGTGTGTGTGTAACGAAATATTTATTAAGACATGTTTCTCGGCAACCACACTAATCCGAATTGGTTGCAACAGCCGCCAAATGAAAACTATGATCCCATAGAGCACAATTTTTTGGAATCAGCCACTCTCCGGTTTATATGAAGCATGAAGCTAATTCTGACCTCAAACAATAAAACTCATCATATGACATCTCAAATCACATTATTGTTCAAAACCAAGCTCAATGTTTGTCATTTGGAGGACCAAGGCCACATTGGCCACACCTGACCATGTTTCGATATCCTCCGGAGAAGTGGCCACTTTCTGACTATGGTCAAAAGCAGTAATGTGATATCTTAAATCATATTAAAATTCGACAACCATTTCAATTGCAGTTATTAGTAATAGCCAGGATCACGCTCGCTGGCCACATCCAGTAATTTTCCCAGCAAAGTATCCACTTTCAGACTTGGATCAAAACCCATCATACGATGCCTTAAATCACATGAGAATTCATTTTTTGACGTAGGACTACGCCTGTGATTTCTATATGGGGGTACACTTTGTGAAAACCAAAAATTGAACATGTAACAAATTATGAAAGATTTTAAACGTTAATAACTCGGCTGCCCATGAACCCATTTCAATAATTTTATCACCAATCGATCAGAAATATTTCTACGCATCTGTAAAATTGAATACTTTCAAATGTCACTATTGAAAATTACACGAATGTGCAACTGTTGCTATGATAATTAAAATCATCACCGATTCCATCCGGTCTAACCAAACGGTGTTTATTCAATCACCGCTTGATGAGTGATGTACACAACACAACGGAAGGCTTCCCGGAAGCAGCTATCTATCAAGGCTGCCCTCAACCGCTGATCGGATTCAGTTTCAATCACCATGTGTGGTGGTGTCAGGTCGTCGGAATCAGCAGCAGCAGTGCTTTCAGCGCGTGGCATTGAACCCTGTTCTCCAGTACACAACGAAAGGGCTGCCTGTAAGCAGCGAGCTGCAGCCCACATGGCCATGTATAGAAGGAGGAAAAAGTCGCACAGCTATTGATCGGAATAAGTAGCTCTTCGTGAGTCACTGTGGACCATGCGCATCATACTTAAGTAGTATAAGCAGAGAGAACCCCACTCAAATTCCTATTTCTACACAAAACACAAGCTCCTGCTGCAGTTGACAAATAAGATTTATTCGATGAAAATTTTGCAATGGGCAGCACGAACGTGATATCAACCGAACGAGCTCCGGCGCCACACTGGTAGTGTAGTAGCAGTCTTACAACATACAAACAAAATTTCAAAGCCAGCAGCAATGAATCGGCAGTTTGACGGACTGCTTGTTGTATGTAGGGTAGGATGGTGCAAAACGCACCGTTTAAGCAAAATCGTCAATGGCTGGCGAATGGAAGCTAAAATCAAGAAGAAAGTAATGGCGTTTGGTTCATTACCATGTTTTCTACAAAGATCGAGTGATTTAGAACTACAAAAGGATGATTTTCTATGACTTTCAAGGTATTTTTTAAATTGCTTCCAAAATGATAGCGGGGCAAAACGCCTGATTCATGATGCAATATGCACCACAACATTGGGACAAGACGCACGACAACAATGGCTAAAACGCACCACAACATTGGGGTAAAATGCACCCCATGATAAACAAACCATAACCCCTGCAAGTAGATAATGCAGAGGGATGCGGTATTTCAAATGATTATTTCTTTATGTTAGGGTAGGATGGTGCAAAACGCACCGTTTAAGCAAAATCGTCAATGGCTGGCGAATGGAAGCTAAAATCAAGAAGAAAGTAATGGCGTTTGGTTCATTACCATGTTTTCTACAAAGATCGAGTGATTTAGAACTACAAAAGGATGATTTTCTATGACTTTCAAGGTATTTTTTAAATTGCTTCCAAAATGATAGCGGGGCAAAACGCCTGATTCATGATGCAATATGCACCACAACATTGGGACAAGACGCACGACAACAATGGCTAAAACGCACCACAACATTGGGGTAAAATGCACCCCATGATAAACAAACCATAACCCCTGCAAGTAGATAATGCAGAGGGATGCGGTATTTCAAATGATTATTTCTTTATGTTAGGGTAGGATGGTGCAAAACGCACCGTTTAAGCAAAATCGTCAATGGCTGGC